ATATATTACGTCATAGAATATCTCTCCAAAAAGCATTGGCAGAAGCAATAATCATTTGAGGTCGTCGCTAAAACAACATTGGCTAAAGTGGGTGTCGACGTGGCGAACGTCATTCCTGAGCGGTTCCGCTGACTTCACCACTGTACCCTGTTGCGCATCCTTGTTAAATGGCTAAATAAGGGTGATGAAGAAGTATAGCCTTGAGTGTTAACAGCGTTTTTACAACCTTAAGCCTGTAAAAGTTCCTAGCGTTTTGCTCTGCGAAGTGCCTTAAAGGGACAATGAAGGCAATTTCGGATATTTTCTTGGAGACTGAACTGGGTTTCAGGCACGTTTCAGGCCACGTTGCCCAAATTTCAGCCGAAACCGGCGCTTGTGTGCCGCGCAAATCAATTGAACAGTCGCGGTAATGATCGTACCGGGATCGACTGGGGCGACGCCCGAGAGTTGAGGGAGAAGCCAGGAGAAGCGGAGCTCACGGGACCGTTGCGGGCCAAGAAGCGCGACGTCACAAGAGACGCGTCAGCGATTGGTCGAAACGAGAGACGTGCCCTCAGTCACGATTTGTAGGGATACTGTTTAAATTTCCGCTTCAATAACCATGAAAATTATAAATCGGACCGGAAGTGGTTACTAAACCGTAAATAAAACAGCGTTAATGTTTTTCTCTTTGCCTTGCTGGACGCCAAACGGGCAACGAGCAACTACGAGCAAACAAAATAAAATGAGAAAAGAATACGTGGTAGACATTTGGTTTTGGTTCCAGATGTCGGTGTCGTGTTTACTTTGGGAACATGGTACTCGAAGGATTCTGCAAAATGGTAGTCATGGCAAATTCGTGCGCTGTAGATGGTTGTTCTAACGGTCGACCGAAGACCAGTATTCGTTCGGGCGACCTAAGTTTGCACGTGTGCGTTGTTGTAAGTGTTTTTTCATGACGAAGAAATAGGACGTTTGTCTTTGGTGAAAACCAAAAATGGTAGTGTTTATTTTCTCCTTCTTGGGGAGCGCCCCCGCAGAGGAACCGGTTCCCGGAACGGCCGGGTCGCTACCGCTTTCCCCTCGGCATCTCCCCCGCGTCCCTGTCCTTCGGCAACGCGCCGCTCTCGTCTCGCCCGTGCGAATGGTGCTCACTGCTTCCCTGTCCGCAGCCTGCGGGCCGCTCGTTGCCGGCTGGGCGGTCGCCGTCGGGTGATGGCGGAGGCCGCCACACACATACTCCCCCTCTGTTGGTGTTAGCTCACTGAACGGAAGCCCGACCTCGCTAGCGAGAGCGGCGTTGTCGTCCATGTTGACAGATCCGACGAAACGACCGCGCCACTGCGGTGCTATAACCCACCGCGGTAACCAGAGTCTCGATCACCTAAGTAATACCGATACCGACTATTCGCACTTGACAGAGGTGACGTCACTCCCTACGTCACCTCTGTTTTCGGAGGCCCAGATATGAGAATGGAGATAGTTTAGTTTCGGTTTCTTCAGGTCTTTCGTAGGCACAGAAATACGCGTCACAAATGTCTTCAAAAAAATTAAGCAGCCTGTTATGTTCCCAAGAAGCCTAAAAACACCATTGTCAAAAATTACATAAAATCGTCTTTAATGTCCCTTTAAATGCGCGAGCTTCCTCGCAGAAGAGCGTTTTGCTAAGATAAACCCACGCGCCCTTAACCTTTCCTACACCATAGACATTTCTGAAGTGGATATCTTTAGTATCGCCGGTTGGAGAACATGACAACAGCAGGGATGTCTCTCTGTTACCCATAAAGTGCAGCTTAATTGGTATGTTGGAAGCAGCGCCACCTTGCATTCCAAGGCTAGAAAAGAAATACCTGCAAAAATGGGACGATTGACCATTTTATCCCACTCTGCAGATGTAACATTCAACTGTCAACAGGACAATCCCTTATGCTTTGTTTATATTTTTGCCTTCTTCGTCTTATTCAGATCCAAATTTCAAAAAATTAACTTGCCTTTGCCATTGCGGTGCTGCTGGCAGTGCACAGCTGGTACCAAGTTGATAGTGACACATGAGGCATGAAGCGCGAGGCCGCTCTCGGCCATCGGGAAAAGCAAACGATCACCATACCTTCCCTTCTTTCCCATTACACTGAAGCTAAAATACGCAAGCGCATTTGCTGAATTCGCTGAGTTGGAGTTTAGGAAAATTGGAGATGCGCAGCTAATCACAGGAAATGAAGCCGACAAAGCAAACGAGGCTCCTGAGTTTACCTCGTACTACCTGTCGGACACCCTGCTCCCGTGTTCTACTCTTGATCCTGAACGTGATAATAATAATAAATAGTAATAATAATAATAAATATTTATTTTCAAGTGCCCAAAAACAACCAACAGGTCTTTTCTTTGGTACACATAATGAATGAGGAATTAATATAACAGAGACATGGCAAAAATACACAAACGTTACAAATTGGCGACAAGCACTTTCATTTTCATCGCGAACACCCGAGAGTCGCTAAATATATCCACTTCAGCATTGTTGATGTGGTTAAAAAGCAGTTGGCAGCGTGATAAAGGCGAGAGATCACAGACAGTATTAATGTAAAAAGTACTATGATTTCTAGTGGGTCGGGAGGGAACGTGTAAATTAACATCACTTAAAAGCGAGTCACAATCAGATACACCGTTTACTAACTTATGAAAAAAGACTAAGTCACGTTCCGCTCTTCTATCGGACAAGTTTGTCAACGAAACTTAGTTAAGAAGAAATTCATAATCAAAATAGAAGCGACGATGAGAGTATCGATCACACACGATACGTATTAACCTCTTCTGTACATTTTCAATGTTCAATGCCTGAGTTTTATTTAACGCATTCCAAGCTACTGATGCAAATTCAAGTCTAGACCTGACAAGGGCACAAAATAACCGAACCAAGGAAGCCGGGTTATTAAAGTGCTTCGTAATACGAGATATAACACCAAGCATTCTTGTTGCACTGCCAACGACAAATGGCACATGGGCAGTAAACGTTAGAACATTATCAAGGTATACGCCAAGGTCTTTTATGACAGAAAGACGTTTGATAGGCATCCCCTCTAAAACATAATCGCAGTCTATTATGGTGTGACGCCTTGAGAAAGAAACGACTTTTGTTTTCAATGCATTCAGAGATAAGTTTTTCGCTGTACACCAAATAGCAATCTGTGAAACATCATGCTGTAGAGCGTTGCAGTCGATAGAAGAGTGAATATTCATAAAAAGCTTGATGTCATCGGTAAACAACACAATTTGAGCGTTATCAACATATGACGGCAAGTCGTTGATGAATATCAAAAACAACAACGGGCCAAGGATGGAGCCTTGAGGGACACCAGATGTGGAAAAGAAGTGGTCGGAATGACTGTTATCTACACGAACCGAGTTCCGTCGAGATGACAAATAACTACGGAACCAGTTACATAGCTCTGGGCAACAACCATATGACGATAATTTGTGTAACAGCAATTCATGGTTTACTTTATCGAAAGCTTTAGACATGTCAAAAAAGATACAATCAACTTGTCCTCTCTTTGTAACAACAGGGGCAGAGTAATTTAAAAAAGAGCAAAGATTTGTTTCAACCGAACGTCCCTTCAAAAAACCATGCTGACACTCTACAAACATGCCGAAAATAAAAAAGAATCCGGGAATACATAACCCGTTCAAAAACTTTAGAAAGACAGGTTGATACCGTTGTATGTTTTAATAAACTCAAACATAATCTATTTTGTCCCTTATTCAGGGAATACGATTACTAAACAAATAAATACTAGCACTAATACATTTAATTTATTATTGAGACGTGCCAACTCAAGACTACATTTCTCAACAAATCATGCGGGCGGTTTTGGCTTGCCGAGCTGAAATAACATTGGCTATGATAATTATAGAGGCGTCAGCGCCGCCCTCGGTGACTTTTTGAAAACTAAAAATCTGTGGCTCTTCGGCCTCCAACCAGGTGGTACGACAAAGCCTCCAAACAGTTTTCTTGTTTCTAATTACTTCTATCTAAATAAAAAAACTGCCTGGCAACAAAGAAGGAAGTCTATTATGGAGTAATATGACTATATAAGACAGCCCGTTTCACTGGATGTCATTAACTTTATATGACCATAAAACAGATGCGTCAAAAGAGTGATGTTGATAGGCTACTTCAACATTAATACTTCAAAGTTTAACAAAACCTCTCGTAAACTTCTTCGCCTACCTCAAGAATTTACCCCTATCAGATATACTACTGCAGTTGAATTATTCGCAAAGTAAAATTAGAAATCCCATCACCTACAGCATAAAATATTGATATGTTTGTAATAATTATCTTACTAACAACTTTAGACATGCGTTTGATTTTTTTTTTAAATAACTAATCCCAAGAACAACGTATCTTGCAGATTTGAAAGTTCTTGTTTATTCAATAAAAAAAATCGCCATGCTGACATTTCCGACTTTACGGCTATATTTGGAGACCCGTAGGAAACGAAGTAATTCATAATTAGATCAAAACATTGTCCACCTCTGCTTCAGTGTGTTTAGGACAAAAATAAGCATCAAAATTATGTTATCGTTAATGGTCCCTTCAAAAAACGATAACTAGCGGACGAAAGAACGAGTTCGTGGCTTCCTATTGGTGACACTATAAATATGCACAAACATAAAAAATAAAATGAGCTATACGAGGGGAAATAGAATTATGTCGTCCTTTAAATAAAACTACTGATTAGAAAAGGTATTCAGAATGATACAAGTAACGATCAGCCAAAAATCACGTATATTGACAAAATCAGTGGGACCGTGACCGTTAAGGTACTGTTTGCGAGTTTTTTTTGTTTTTTTTTTCACGTTTATTAACGTTGTTAGTGTACTATGCTTCTATATTTGAAGTTGTTTCCGGCTGGTTTCTCAGATATTACATTCGACACCTTCATGAGTCAAATCAAATCTGTCCTTTAAAGGTCATGCAACCTAATACCGATCCCGAACGGGATTATTTTCTATTAAAGATGAGAAGTGCACAACAGGACTCAATGAAATCGACTACACTTGGTACCATTGATAACGACTTGAAGTCGACGGTGAGAAATATTTATATTACTGTACTTAGAATTGGATAGTCCTTACACCAACTCTAAGAACACCTGTTAGTTGTTTGTCATTTCTCTACTCATCAACATATTCAGATACAATCTTAATTTAGCTTTACGAAAAGTAGTAAATTGTGGCAGTAACGCATATTATGATTAAAACTCTCATGCTCGCCACTTCATTTATTTGCACGATACGTATGAAGTTTTCTTTCAATGGTCGTAAAAGCGCAAGCGTATACCTTTGCAAAAGGTTCGGGACGGCGAACAAGTCCACTTCGTGAAAAGGCAGTATGCAGAAAGCATTTTTCATTTCACCACTGCAGCGATTCACTGTCCTAAGGACGAGTAAGTTCACCTTAAAAAACGTAAATATGGTAGTATTCCCTTCGTATTCCATACACACTTCACAGCATTTACGAAATTGTATATCTTATGAAGGATAACGAAAAATCGTTCGTCACGTTCTGTATCGAAACCAGACACAATCAGGGGCGTGTAATCCAAATTAGATGAAACAATAATATTTTAGCTACATAAAAAATTTTTTCTCAAAGAACCCATTAAATTTCGTGTTTGCTTTGGAGCTATGTGTTGTAGCGCAAGAACCAAGCGCTGAGCGACTAGCGCGAAGGGCTGAGACATCACGCTCATGACATGGGCTGCGTTCGTCACGCGCATGGGACATTATCGCTTCGTAAGCTCTAAGAACGAGCTGGACGCCATAAATAATCTTCTCGTTTGGATCGTCGTGCTTAGTCGTGGTTACTACACTATGAATTATATCAAATGCAGTAATAATTATAATAACAATAAATTAAGCATGCGAAGCTAGGAACATCCGAGTTAATATGCAGATATTAACCCTGACAATGCCGACACAGTTCAGGCATAAATATGACGTGCTACCTCATATACTTTCAGAGGTCTTTTGTTCTTTCCGTGGTTCACTTGAGAAACTTTGTTTAAAGAAGTATTTCGTGTTTTTCCGTCTTCATTTCTAAACAGTCATCGAAGAACCAGTGATTTCATGCCAGAGCTTTTCTATAATTTGAAGTTTTACATGAAAAATACCGTTAGTTCAGACAAACAAAAAACTTATATTGGCTGGCTTTTGTTTGGAGAAAACCTGTATTTTGAAATTAAGCATGTGAGTCTAGGAAGACTCGAGTTAGTGTGAAAATATCAACCCTGTTGATGCCGACACAATTCAGGTATAAATATAACGTGCTACATCATCTACTTTCAGAGCCTTTTTGTTCTATCCACGATTAACTTGAGAAACTTCGTTTACAGAAGTACTTCGTGTGTTTTTCTGTAATAATTTCTAAATATTTAAAGCACCATTTTTATCAAATCTACAAGGTTTCCATGGGTTTGCATAGAACGCGAACAAACACTAAAAATGTTTTAGTCTTATTTCAATGGTCAAATCAACCGGTGTCGTGCTTTTTTGCTAAACAAAATATTTTTTTCTTATAAACTCAAATATACTTGTATAAATAATATTAGGCATCCGTTTGCTTTTATTGCAGATGATAAAGTATAAAGAGTTGATTAAAAAGGAATTTTCTACGCTCAAGAAAACAGTTTCCTTAACTGATTCCCAAATTATTATTGTTGAGAGCACTGCGTACCACGCCAAGGTTGAAAACGCTCTTAAAGACAATGAACAGTAAGCAACTGATAATATATATTTTCTCTAACTTTACACTACAGCGTACATAATAACTCCCCTCATATTTTACGGTGCTTAGAGATACACTTTTTAAAGTGATGTGCACACAAATACACAAAATAATATTTGTTCTCATATGGCCTATTAATTTTTTTTTAATTGTCACATTGTCATAGAACAGATGTATAGTTTAGAATTTGCAAAAAAATATGTTCGACAAGCGACTCTAAAATATAAAGTTCATGATTTCACGTATTTTGCATATCAGGGTGTTAGATATTTAATTGGGAGATATTTATTTATTTTTAAATCAGTGGAAGCACCTTCCACGGATTTAAAAATAAATAAATATCTCCCAACTCTACAAACATCATTACTGCACCAGTAATGATGTTTGTAGAGGAGTTTTACGGCCAGTTGGACATAATAAATCGGTATAGGCCTTAACCGAGGTCAAATAATTATCTAAAATTTAATATGAACGGTTTAAGTGGGTAAAAATAAACGTATGGTTATGAATAGAAACTTGCTCAGCGTCATCGTTGAAAGATTCTGAGAAAAAGGTGTCTCTAGTTGATGCTATCATATGCTTCAAATGAACGTAAATAAAAAAAATGGTATGGAGCTCGAAAGAAGACAAGCGACAAATAAAAAATCGTCAGACACGGACAGCGTTCGTGTCTTGCGTGTTTTTGTGTGTCCCTTGCCTCCTTTTGCGTTCGCATACCAACATGTTTAACCAACACGCTCTACCAATTCTACCTAAACAAATCGTCGCCCCCAGGATTTCACCTTAGTTCCGCCGAGTACGAAGCGGACGCGGTACCAGAAACCACGGCCGCTTCCAACTTTTTGTTATCGGTAGTTATGCAAGACATGCACAGAGCTAAGCTCCCAGGTCTTGCATAATGCGCCGCCTAATAATGGTATTTGTTGAGGAGACGTGCGCGCATCAGTCTGGCTCAGCGCTTTCACGATGGCAGCAGCTGCCGTGACGTAGAACCAGTCTCACGACGCGTCCTGGTATATGCGCGTGTACCTACGCGCGAGTACAACCATCCGGCGCAATCTGCGTTTGCGGAATCACCGTTACCTGATACAGCTACGGCAAAAAAAATTCAGTTTAACTGGAGAAATCAAGAGACACCAAATAAAATAAAATGTGCCGAGTAAAATTGAACTTCATATATATTTAATTGCTATTTATTTCTATTTAAAACATTAAAGTTAATATCTATAAGTTGCAGACCACCTGCGTACCACCAATACCTCACCAGCCGAACTCCCTGGCAGTAAGGCTAGCTCTGGCACTTGTTTTGCGACTTTGGCCCAATAACCTGTAGAACAAGCGTCCATGCTATTTTTGATAATTAAAAGCTTAAGATACCGGACAGACCTATGACCTTGATATAAAGTTCGGGCATAACGTTCATTCTTAATAGAGCGTTCAGTACTTATCCTGGGGCAGCTCATGGTATTTATATATTCATTCTGGGATTAACATAAAAGAAATCTTGAAGTTCGTAAATAATTCCGGCGTGAAAAGTTACTTGACTAGCGAAGGCTAAAACAAAAAATTAAATTTAAATCATATAGGTGCAATATTTTCGTTACTTTTCAAATATTGTCGTACCTGACTATTGTGCGAGCCTAATGATTTAATATGCCTAACACAAGATATTTATTGAACCATTTTGTCATTTTAAAATTGAATTGTTAGGAAAAGTTTACGTGGAGTAAATATAGAAGCTACAAAAACGACCCTTGTTTCTGAAAGTAACATTGAAAAATGTTATGTCTGAATTTACGAATGTCAAAACATACAATGTCTTTATGTAAATGATACGGCAGTTTACTACAAATATTTGGTCTTTGAGAGATAGAACGTTTGTTAGCCATCTACCCGAGCGCATAAAGTTTAGAGACCAGCGAGGCCCATGACATAGGAGTATGTGTGGACATTCCTTCAGGACTGGGCACGACCAGTTACTTGACCTGGCGCGAATGTAAGTTCTGCGCACGCGCAGTGCAGACACCTTGGCACCTGGGGGGGGGGGGGGGGGGGGGATGCGGTTGTTTTGTACACAGAGTTTGGCGTATGTACACTCTCCGGCAATATGAAAAACCCACAGGGAGCGCGTGGTAGAGGCGGTGGCTGAGGGGGGCGCTGCGCTCGCTTTGGGCAATTTCATGTCGGTCGGAGGGGAGGCCTCACTCAGTGCTCAGCTGCGCCAGCCGCGCCGAAACGTGCTTAACAGATTTTGATTTCGGTTTGGCGGGAGAGAGCTTCTTGCAAGGCAAGCCTGGGAGTATTGTAAAGGAGGCTCGAATGAAGTATCGTTTTCACGGGCGCTTTTATAAATTTTTTGTGCAAATTATCAAATCAAGCACTGCGAAAAAACAAAGATTACAGTTATGCTGAAGCCCTGTAGAAAGCGCGCTCTCCCGCCAAACCGAAATCAAAATTTAAGCACGTCTCGACGCGGCTCGCCAGCTGGCGGAGCTGAGCACCAGGTGAGGCCTCCCCTCCGAGCGACATGGAATTGCCCAAAGCGCGAGCAGCGCCCCCCTCAGCCACCGCCTCTGCCACGCGCTCCGAGTGGGTCTTTCATATCGCCGGAGAGTGTACATCGAATATAGTACTTGCGCTTTAAAAGCATGACGCAATGATATTAAAATGAACTTACAAAGTTCCACGTTTTACTCACGATGTTTTCTACCATTGTTTCTTTTTGCATTATCAGGGATGAGCTCTATAACTTTCTTGGGTATAAATACCTATCTCAACTCACTAAGTTCTCAAAATCAAATCTGTTTTTCGACTACACACGTTTCATGAAAACTGTCGATCCTACTTACAATGAACCACAAGAGCCGGATTTCACGAGCCTTTGCATGCGGGACCTGATGGTTACTATGAAGCACGCTTTGGGTCAACTGTATGTTAAGAACTTTTTTAAGGACCAACGTATTCGGGACGAGGTGAGCATATGCATACTATTTTGTTATTCTTACATTTTTAAAATATTTTGAAATGTACAGGAGACGTTAGTTCGTTTTAATGTATATAGGTCAGTGACGTGCTTTCTGAAATCGAGCACCATTTCGGTAAGCCTACACCCGTGTAAGTGCAACTAAATAAATAGGCTTGCCAGTAGGAAGTCGTTAGACAATTTATAAATGTCTTATGTTGTTACCCGTTTCTCTAAGGAGAGTGTGCATTGGATAAGTGAATCATACTCATTCAATTCGCCATAGTGAATTGTAATTTAGTGTGGGTTAAACTCTAAATAAAATACAGTATGTTATGGCAAAGTAATTAGGACAGTTAAAAGAAGGTACATTTGGAGTTCAAGTTCCGCTAATAATAGGTTGACTCGTTAAAGAGAGAATCTGATTAGTTCTTTGCAATATTTAGTGTGACTATAACTGACAATAGGGAGTTTTAAAATAACGTACGCCATTTTAGCGCTTGTATTAGCGCACGCGACGCGAGAGAGTTTTAGAATAGCGTTTCTCCGTCGCGGTGCAAAAGCCCAAGCATCTCGCGCTGCGACGCCATCAAGATACAGTCACAATTTTTATTTCAAGCACGAAATGCTGTAACTTTACAAAAAAAAAAAAAAACAAGTTTTTTTGGTCTAGAGTAGTATTTTAGATTTGTTCGAACATGCGAATACGACGCGAGCGGTTGACCGGTCGTGTCCGCTTGCGTTGCCTCGGCAAGAGAGGTCTCGTGTACTAACCTTCGCACATCGTACCTTCGCCGAGAAATGTTCGCGCGTCACAAGCATTAAGTTGCCGGTGATCGTAGCCAAACCAAGTGCAATGTCGTCCCGTATTGAAAATCGCAATCGCGAGGATGCCGCCGACGTCGCACTCACGACGCCGCCAAAGCAGCCGCCGACAGAATCCTGGAAGCCGCCATTTTTTTAACTCTGCTCGTCTCGGCTTTAGCCAACTTCTCATCATGAATCCATCTTGGAGAAGCGCAAAGACTCTGCGTACGCACGCTATTTCCGAGAAATATCGCACGCTAAAATTGCGCACGCAAAGCGCAAAACCTGGTTTGCGTTCAGAGCATGCGCAGTGGCGACGACGCTATTCTTTGCGCACGCAAAACTTTAGCGTGCACTATTCTAAAACTCCCTAATGCTTCTCACGAAATGTTGAATTTTGTTTTATAACATTTGTTTATACTCCACATTTGGGGAAAGAGATTTTCCAAATATGCTGCAGCTATGACTCAATAAATAATATTCCTACAAATCGGAATTTTAAGGGGACACTGACACACCAATTTTTTTTTAAATTTTTGTCACGCGATGTATTATGGTGTCGGAAGTCTACCCAATTAATAATTTGCAAGAGTCATGTATATATTTAATAAAGCCGAAAAACGCCACTGCTCGAAACCGAAACCAAAACCTGCGCACGGAGGTCGAAGAAGTGGAGAGGAGAGAGTGAGTGGCTGAAGTCACGTGGCTGCACACGACCGTGCGCCCTTTTTTTCCTCTCTTGTTTTTTTTTTTTTTTTTTTTTTTTTTTGCGCAGCAGTTGACATATGTGGCGGGGAACCGTTTGCCGTGCGATTCCTTTGAGGTTATGTTTGTTCCGCTCGCTGTTCTGTAGTTCAACATGCGTTGTTTTGCACGAGAGTTGGAGGTGAGTAGTGAATGCCCGTGGTGAATTCCCGTGATCGGCTTCGAAAAGAATACCCCCAAGATGTCGCGTGAAAAGCTGCCTCACAAGTCCTGCGTAAGAAAAAAGTGGCATTGTGCGGCAAAGTCTGCACATGTTTCCGAAGGATTAACGAGATCGGCACCAAGGGCGGACTGCAATTGCTGTAGAACATCCACGGGCACCTCGTAAAGCGGACGTTCCCCGATTTATATGCTCCTTGCATTTTGCGGAAAGTGATTCCATTGAGTTCGCAGGTGTCAAAACGAAATCCCATACCATTTGGTTCAGCGACGTTTCGTCTACAAGATTTGCCTTTTTCAGTGATAATTGAAAAACGAAAATAGTAAATATAGCAAAACATTAAAAAAAAAACAAAAAAAAAAAAAAAACTTACGCTTACACGGGTTCGGACCCGGTTCCGTCGCGTGTGAGGCGGATATCTTTCCACTGAGGTACTGGGGAAACACCGTGTAGCCCCAGTGCTCTACGATATATTTTTGGCTGTGTGTGATAAGGGAATACGTAAGAATATTGAAACATTGGGGGCATTCGCAATCTGTAGGTATGTGGATGACTACTTGGTGCTGGCCTCGAAGTCCGTTATTGTTAGCGTGGACTTAATCAACGATGTGCTGGATTGTTTTAACTTGAATCCACGTGGATTGACGTTTACCCATGAAACAATGACGAGGGGAAGTCTGCAGTTTTCGGATTTGAGCCTCAACTTCGAAGGTGACCACGTTTGTTGGAAGTATGAGCCGCGAACTAAGGAATTGGTTCTGCCCTTCAATTCTGCGCAATCCAAACTCGTTAAAAGCGGAACAGCATCGTCCCTAATGAGAGCCTCGTTGGCAAAGTCATGCCACCACGTCGCGGATGAAAGCTTCCTCACGCAGGTGAATCACCCAAAACGCGGAAGGTACCCCGATCGCTTCTTGGGGGAAGTAGCGGATAACGTTGTTCCCAAGATGAAGACAAAAGATGACGCTCATATTCCTTCCAGACAACTAACAACACCGGCGGTGACTCCTTACATTCACAATCTATCTCATAATCAGTAAAAGGTGGTGGCTTATTTTGAAGTGTCAGTGGTGTTTGCAGTGCCACACAAGCTTTTCCATCTATGTTCAAAAATAAACAGCGATAAGGGAGAGGGTAAAGTGCGCCAAAAGAAACACGCAAAGCAATATGTGGAGTGTGTAACGTCAGTGGAATATAACATACCAATGTGTTGCGGGAAATAATATGTGGGGCAAATGGGGCGTTTCATAAATGAGGGAGCAAGAGAATATGTCCGGTCAGTGAAACGGTCCCCGTCGGGCAATCTCGCGGTGCACTGCGATAGGTGCCCATGTGGCCCGCAATTGGGAAACAACAACAGTTCTGGACAGATACGCAAACAAAACTGCGCGAGAAATACATGAGGCATTCTGCGTAAGAGAGCGAGTGGAGGGCGTGTGCATTAGTGCGCCGTCACTGCACTTGATAGATAAGGAGTTTTTCTTTCTGAGCCAGCAGCCAGAAAGACGGTATTAATAGCCAATGTTTGTTTCAATAAACCTTCAGTTGAGAGTACGCTTTATCTCTGTTCCCTTCGTCGTCCTTGTTCATTCGGCGCTTTCCATTCAGAAACACCTTCGCTAGTTATAATGCAGCCGGTCAGCTGTAGATTGGAACGTGTGCTGCCGACTTTCCTCCAGCAAAAACACTCCCGGGTTGAAGACGGGCAGCACCAGGCATTGGCCACATTCGAACCCAGTAAAAAGATCGTACGCGTGCATACTTAACTCGAAGTACGCACTTCGTGCTTGCCATTTTTTTCTCTTTTAAAGGAGGACAGAGGTTCGACACCCGTCGTCCGCTGCCATCGCCGTCACCGCGAGTCTCACAATACGTGAAACGACGCCGTGTTGAGAATTACGCAGTGAACGCACAGAATGCTTCTTCCGGTTCTCTGTGAAACTTTCTTTTTTTTTAATCGGCGTCTTTGCAGCTTTTTAGAAGCCACTAAACATGGGTTTCATTTTTTTCCTCTTTTTAATATTGAGTGTGTGCCTTCAATGACCAACGACTTCGATTAAATTGGGTGGGTGTGTCTAAACCTTAGGAAATGGCCCGTGACCACAAAAAAGAGAGTGAACGTGGCTTAAACTGGCCAGTAGATATACAGGGTGTTTTACGTAAGAGTGAGAAAGTCGCAACGATTAGTGTATCGCAGGTAAAAATATATTTTTCTTGGGACCGCATTACTCCTAGAGGCGGACGTCAGAAAATGCGCGATACTTACTAATTAGTTCAATAATTATATGAACATTACCTTTTACCTTTTAAATTAGTTAAAATAGACATATGATTTCAATTATAAACTTGCTGAGCGCCATCGAAAAGCACTGAATCAGTAATTTTCAGAAAGAATTTGAGCGCGTGAGAAGCGTGGTAATGCACTAAAGTTTAAAACTTCTCGAAACAAATATGTTTAGCTTAAAATATGAGAGACGTTTACAATTCCCTGTAATGCCAAATTAGAGTTAGGAGGAGGAGGGGAGAGTACAAAGAGGAGAATATGCCCCTACTCCGTACCCTCTCCTCCACCCCTCCTGCTCCTCCTCCCTTCCGCCCCCTTTCCTCTTCCGCCCCCTCCTCCTCTCCTCCTCCCCCTTAATACCTCTTCCCTCGTTACGTTACACGTGACCCTAGTGACCCTCGTCACGTCACTCGTGAAGGTCGCGACCTTCGTCGTGACCTTCCCGAGTGACCTTTGTGACGTCACTCGTGACCCCAGTGACCCTCGGGACACCACTCGTGACCCTCGTGATGTCACACGTTATGTCACGTGTGACCTCATTATGGGAAACGTCCCATAATGCAACGTGCGGTTGCGCCGACTGCGAAGGTAACGCCGCTCAAGCTGGAAACGGGCGCTTAAAGGAGCTGTGCAACGATATTCAATCGGAATGTTTTCTCTCTACACGAGCTTACTGGCACACCTGGGACTCAAGGATACTCACACGCAACGCCATTGGCCAAGAAACTCCTTTGTTGCGGTGTAATTTCAAGGACAAACGCGATCATTTTCGTTCAACCTCTCCTTTGCAAAATTTGATGACGTAACTCGGGGATCGCAGTACACCCAAGTGACGATATTTGAATGCGGTTCACAGATTGGACCCGAGCATTGCGTGGGCACTCGACTTGGGCTCGTAACAATTGCTAGCTCGAGAAGCTTTCGGGTTGTGACCCGTGTCCAATCGCTGCAACGACGACAACAGCCGAGCCATAACAATGTCTGGAACTCAGCGCGTGCCCTGCGCTTTGCCAACTCCAGCGCGTGGCTATGATCAACACTGGCGGCATATAATCGGCTCCAGATCACGTGGCCGCTTGTTCTGGCTGCGAGTTGAGGGGATGAACTCTGCTCGTTTTTGTTAATTTTTTTTCTGGGACTTCTATTGCGTGGGGTGAAAAACGAACGCGTGTTTCATAGGTCATTAACGTTAGGGATCCGTTTTAAGTGGTATTTGTGCACAGTACAAAAATTATTGCACAGCTCCTTCAAGAGGTGCGCTGTAAAACAAGCACCCTGTATATAAGTGTTGGTGTAAAACAAATCTGAATGCATTAGTAACGTTTATATAGTACCTAGACTAAGATAATAGACAGGAACGCCTAATATATGTTCCAGAACCACATACCTGCACCGCAATCAAAGGCTTCAAATTGGACGCTCCGCGAAATCAAAAGGCAATTATGCGTTCTGCTTCTTGATACATCGGTGGCTCGACAGCTGCCTAAAATACTGCTTCTTGGTACATCGGATGTTTGAGCAGTAACCTTCACGCCTGTCAACACATGACCAGTGGTGTCACACTACCTGCAAAGGCTGCTACGCAAACAGTCTACGTGTTTTTAGAGCGCAGCTCTTAGGGGCCCGTTCCCGGCTTGAACGGCGTCGGCGTCGGCGTCGGTGTCGGCGTCGGCGTCGGCGTCGGCGTCGGCCTCGGCGTCGGCGTCGCCGTCGGCGTCGGCGTAGCCGTAACTCTCGTAACCCTCGTGAGGGTTACGAGGGTTACGAGGGTTAATCTCATGAGGGTTACCCTCACGAGGATCACGAGGGCCACGAGGGTTACTTACCCTCGTAACCCTCACGAGGGTTACGAGGGTTAGTTACCCTCGAAAGGGTTACCTTCACGAGGGTTACCCTGACGAGGGTTACTTACCCTCGTAACCCTCACGAGGGTTACAAGGGTTAGTTACCCTCAAAAGGGTTACCTTCACGAGGGTTACCCTCCACGAGGGTTACTTACCCTCGTAACCCTCACGAGGGTTACGAGGGTTAGTTACCCTCAAAAGGGTTACCTTCACGAGGGTTACCCTCACGAGGGTCACGAGGGTTATGAGAGTTGCCCTCACAAGGGTTACTAGGGTTACCCTCACGAGGGTCACGATGGTTACCCAGGTCACGTGACCCCGGGGGGGTCACGTGACCTGGGGATACCCCCGAGGTCACGTGACCACCCGTGTACGTCATAGCCATTGATGACGTCATCAGTGACGTCACTGATGACGTCACCGGCATCCGCATCGTCATCGTCATCATCACTGATGACGTCATCAGTGACGTCACTGATGACGTCACCGGCATTCGCATCGTCATCGTCACTGATGGCGTCATCAGTGACGTCACTGATGACGTCATCGGCATCGTCACGTGGCCCCAGGTCAAGTGACCCCCGACGTCACGTGACGCCCCAAGGTCACGTGACTCCCACAAGGTCACGTGACCCCCAAGGTCACGTGGCTTCCCGCCCCCCGAGGGTCAAGATCAGCGACGCGAGTAGCTAAAACAGTCAATTGTGCCAATTCGTCAATATCTCAAATAAAATGTGATGCAACGCTGATAAAAATACGCATCACTCTAGTAGGACACAACGACACGTGCACTGTCTGGTATTATACAGCAATGTATTCATGTAGGTAACGAGTTTTACTATGAATTTCCTTCACTGAAGTCAACACCTTCCTTAATAGCCGGTGCCACATAATATAAAGCAGAAACACTTCAGCTTTCAGATTGACATAAAACTTGCGGCCACCTTATTTATGTGTACTGTTAGAATAAAAAAATTATAGTTGAGAGCTGCCGAGCGGCAATCTCAGAATATAAAACTATAAAGGCACACGACCGCTGCTTTTTGTGCTACTTACGACAGCTTGAACCTTTACTAAACTGAATGCGGTAGATGTATAGCTTTGTTTTTATGTGCCACTTAACAGGTAATGGAAATTACCACCAAAGTTAAAGAAGCCGTCAAGACATTGGTTGACAAGACTTGGCTGCAAGTCGCAACTAGAAAGGCTGCACAAAATAAGGTATGCGCTATTAGCTTGTGCTAGTTTTGCGACTGTGGGGCAAACGTAGTTCTCATCTCTCGGCTTATTTCCAGGTTGACCAAATGAGCATTTCCGTAGGATATCCCGAATGGCTTTTGCAGACATCCGAAATTACTGCATTGTTCAAATATGTGAGTTATCTTAAATCTATTTCGTCATTGTGAATAGGTTTACCTCATGGGTTGAACGCTTTTCTACATACACTGCGCGACTCTACGTGAAAATTTTTCTTTTTTTATTAAAGTATTTTATCAAAACTTCGGGAAGTGCTCATTTGGAGCAATAACTTACGTGGTAAGATATAAAGCTCAATATAATCAACCCTTTACAAGGTCAGTCTAGCAACATTGATCACAATCATCATCTCAGTGGATGGCACTTGTGCCAAGCTGACGATGGTCTTTTTGAGGCTGTTGAAGGATGAAATTAAAGGCGCTACCATTCGGATATGTGAGGTCTGAACGTTCGAGGCGTCAGTCCAACATGACGCACAACAGCGTAGATACAACAGGTGTATACGCGTTTATTCTGGAGTGTGCTCCAACCAATTTCTTAGCACAAGTTGGGTTCTAAAGTCTTTTGAAGGCTGAAATTTAATCAAAGGACTTATGGGACGCCGCTTTGTACTAGTCACGTATTATCTTCATACCATCAGAAATGCCATAAATCAAGTCGCAATAATAACGTGACTAAAAACGAATTCTCATCTGACATGGGATACGAGAGTGACGGTGCCTGATAAAAAGGACAGCATCATGACCGCCATTAGTTTGGCGAATGTGAAATTGCTTTTTAAATGACCAGATGGCATTGAATTTCGAAAAGGGTTTGTTTCAAAGAAAAATGCGAAAAAAACACCGGTGTCATGTTCGGTCCAACAGTGTCGTGCAGCGTACGAGGGTATGTCAATGTTTAAGTTGTAAATCCGCACAAACTAAAAACAAGCTAAACTTCTGTGCCCAATTTTTCGTCTGTGAATAGCAGCATCAGTGGCTGAGAAATAACAACAGACGCTATATTCAAGTCACTGACGGCTTAAGGAACACAGAACGTGGCGAATCCGAGAGTTTAATCGCTTCGCATCAAGTGAGATTGTACCATCAGCCAAGAGGAAGGTCAAAGAAGGAATCGGTCATGATGTTTTAAGTTGTTCTGTTTCAATACATGAAGACGGGATCGTTTGGTTAGAGAATTATTTATGCAACATATGAAATAAACTAAACAATCATGACAAAAACGGTATCAATAAAGGAAGCACATGCTGTTGAAACTGAAACGCGTTAAATGTTTAAAATGTGCGTGAAAAGTCTTTTTTTCTACAAGCATGTACGTAGCCGGTAGATAAACTGCACCACTTGACGTTGCTTAGAGATGTGTCGTCGGGTCGGATCGGTGGCTTGTGGTTCCTGATCCCCGCGAAGGTGGGGCAGCTGAGCAGGTGGTCCTTTGGCTTCCCGGACGTGGAGAGCCAGGACGAACCCGAATGAAAATAGACGAGCGGGAAGACCTTTGAGCTTCCGGTCTTGGAAAACCGGGACGAACTCAGGAGCATAAGATGAGTAGGCGGACCTTTGAGTTTCCGGTCTTGAAAAGTCAAGAAGAACCCAGATGGACGTAGACCGGAGGACGGATACTGGCGTACCATTTCCTGTTGCCTCTCTTCATTGTATTTCGCCTTTCTGCTCGTCTTTTTGTTGTATTTTTATTCCTCTTTGTGCGTGTTTAGCCCCTGCCGTCGACGGCTGATCTCGAGACACGTGAGCTCATGCCATGGTGTGACGATTGAAAGACCGGCCATGCTTTTTGGTCGTGCACATCACAAGAATCCCAGCTTTCGATTTGTTTTTTGTTAAACAACTAGGCAAGATACGCCAACTTCCTGCGAGGAGAAATATTCACTCTGCGATTGACAAACAAAAGCCTATCTAAAGTTCAAGCGAAAATAGACAGGATGCACGAACTTCCCCGCGAAGAAATGCAAACATTATAATCAAAAAATAAAGGCATATTAACAGTTCAAGGGAAGGAGGACTACTCTGACGTGACGTACTACTGTAAGAGGCTCATGTCTTCTGCCCCCAAATTTTCAGAGCCCTTGATATGCGCAATCCACCGTACACTCTACCGCTCAGGTACGTGGCTTGGGTAAGATAGTGCAGCGGCTGATGGTCACTTTGAACCGAAATCGAAGTACCATAGAGGCAGATCCGGAACTTTTTAAGGACCCCACACTAGCGCCAAACACTCGTGCGCCAGATACCCGAATATCGCGTCTCGCGCGATAGCAGTTGTAGGCTTTCGGAATAGACGGAATGTGAAGCCCGTCGTGCTTTTGTAGGGGAACCGTGTCCACACATTTGGCGGAGGCGTCTGAGGGGTTCAGCCCCCCCCCCCCCCCGAAGTTCAGCCGACCCTATAATATACACATGAATTTCGCCCCCTTCACCCTCTCCGTACCCCATGTCATGGACATCCCAGCCACCTAAGCCAGGAATTTTTTTTCGGGAGGAAGGAAGGGGGGGAGGCCCTTCCGTCCGAAAAAAAAAAAAATTGCTGACTACGTCAGTGTCGGGAGATGGCTTCTGGAAAGCGTTCTTCATAGTGCTTCAACATGTTTCTCTGGAAAAGCTTCTTGGTGTGTCCCCGGTCCAACCAACAGTCAAACTCATTCTTTTATCAGCCGTAAGATTGCTATGACTTGTCGAAAGAAGAATGAGAGTTCGATCTTCGACCTTGAGTTGTCAGCCTTGGTTACTCTTTTCGTAATTTCTTTTTGCGAGTCTTCGTCTTGACCCTGATTTTAATGCGCTAGATTCAAAGTTTGCTGGAGTCGCACTTTCAGGTCAAGGACCTAGTCATACGTTGTCTTGAATTCGTCACTCAGCTCTTCGCCTGTCCAGAGTTACTCGAGGACCGTAAGTGGTCGTCGCACGATCGGAGGCTGGGTTGGGATACTTCCCGATATTTAAAAAGAAGGGGGGTGAGGTACCAGTCCCAGGACTCTAATTGTTCCTGGCTTTGTTTTCGTGGTAGTTTTTTATTCTACCGTTAAAACGTTGAACCATACCGTTGCAGATCGGATGGGCGGGAGTTGTTCTCAGCTGTTTGATTGCTAACAGGTCAAAACTTATTTATTTAACTCAAAGGTCGCAGCTCATCTAGGAAGGAAAGGCAATCCTTGATAACATTTTGATGACTCCCTCCGCGGCGGTAGCAGAGTCGACTGCGTGGTACGCCACCGCGTAAAGATAGCTTGTGTAAAAGTTGACCAAAATAAGTATATATAGGTTGCCTTTGGTCGAAGATCACGACAAGGAACCGACGATGTACACTGCTACGCGCTCAAAAGACGTGTCTCTCAAGGGCATGCGCCCAAGTGCGGTTTTACCCCCATGTGTTTTCCGGGAAGGCGACAGAACAGCACACGGCAAAACAGCACGCGACAGAACAGCGCCGTCAAAACAGCACGCGCCAAAACAGCCCCGCGTCAAAAGAGCACAGCGACAAGAGAACACGCGTCGAAACAGCACGCGACGAAAGAGCATGGCGTCAAAACAGCAGGGCGACAGACGAGTACGTGCCAAAACCAGCACGTCCCAAATCAGCCCGCGACAACACAGCATAGCAACAAAACAGCCCGAATATAAATACATGCTGTGTTTACGCTGTAGGACACATTATTAGCAGCATGCGCATAAATTAAGTACTTGCTGCTAACGCGTTCAGCCGAACACGCTTCATTCCATTTCATTTCCTTTATTTCCATCTTAAAGGACCCCTGAAAAAAAAAGTGTTTTATTTAAATAATCTAGTTGGGACACGCGTGTCAAAAAATAAATTTTACGCAAAAAAATAAGAAATTTAGAGCAATATTGACGACGAGTTATTTATTTGAAATTCTGTGCGCGAAGTACATGACGTCACTAGTCAATGCAGAAAGACCCTCTCGGTCGTGAAGATCAAGCCACTCTACTTCCTCTCCAGGCGCCCGAAATGCCGAGAGAAAACAAGTGGAAAGGAGGTGACTGCCGACTAAATTGCGTCTCGCGCCGTCAATATTGCTTTATTTCTTTTCTTTCCTTTTCTTTTTCGCTTAAAATTTATTTTTTGGCACGCGTGTCCAAACCAGACTGCTTGAAATAGCTTTTTTTTTTCTTTTCAGGGGCCCTTTAAAGGCAAAGGCCCGGCTAGGGCATTACATAACGGAAGAGGGGGGGGGGGGGGGGGCAGTATAACTAGAAATACAATAGCAGACGCCTTAGTGTAACAGTGGTACAACACTAAATAAATAATAACAGGAGAAGTTATACATGATGGGCTAGTAAGATATCATAAAACACTGTTTCATCAGTGGTGCTAACGACGGAGGATGGAAACTGGTTCCACACTCTGATGGCACATAAAAGGAATAATATTATTCTTTTATAATATAATATTCTTTATTTTGGGTGCCCAAAAACAACCACATCGGTATTCCCCTTGGTGAACCAACACAAACAATAAAACAAGCAAACAAACAAAAAAATCCTAAACACACATAAAGTTAACAGGCAAATGTGATTATACAAATGGCGACGATACATTGTAACAGCTGCAAATATATCAAGGTGGGGTGGTGCGATGCCGCTATATAATGACCGAATCCGAGAGAGAGGCGAGGCATTGCACAGTGAGTGAACATAGAAGCAAACAAAATGTCTGGTTAAACGTGAAGGAAAATGAAAGTTCATCTTTTCAAGGAGTTGCGGAGAATCAAATTCGCCAATAGCAGCCTTGTGCCGAAAAACAGTCTCGGACAGATCTCCTGGTAGACAGAATAGAAAGTGAAAATATTTCAAGTATATGTTCATAATTATAGAAAAAGCGCCTCTCAAAGTATCTATCGTAAACAATTCGGATAACCTTTTTCTGAACATTCTCGGTTGTTAAAGCCAGTGTCTCAGGTATCCAGTTCCATATGACACAAGAAAACTCGAGTCGCGAACTCACTCGAGAATCAAAAAGGTGGATCAATTAAAGGGGTTGTTTAAAATTACGCGACAAGCGAAATATTATTCCTAGTACTTTACAATCATTTCCGAAGATTCGCTGAACGCCTTAGATTTGCAGGAAATTCGTTTAATTGCACAAT